ATTTCATACCCAGCTGCAAACCCTTTATTTTCCATCTCTAGTGTTCCCAACATCACTCTTCCAACTCCAATGTTTAATGCTAATATCTGTTCATATTGCATCAGTATAGGTTTTAGTCCTATTTTACATAAGCGAATACTGCTGCCATGTTTTACCCAAACTCATTTCTTGACTAGTGGAGGGCCATGATGACAGAAGAAAAAGTTTACTAGATGCCATAGAAATTGGGGAAGAGAGGAGTGCATGGAGGAAGGACCGAAGTAGCATGCGGATTGCATTGAGATTAGACAGACAAAGGTGGACAAAATAGAATCAGAAGGAGGGACTGGACAGTTTTGAATTCCAGTGGGTAGATGTTTATGGCATCTTTGCTTTTTTGAATGTTGGGAGTATTCATGGTTAATAAGGCAAAAAGGTCTGGCCATAAATACACTGAGTATCCAGCAGGAGCCACCTGGTCAAGTCAGAAGTGATTAGTGCAGTATTTCATTTTGTTTTTTGAACTTGACTCAGCTAGAGTCATCTGGGGAAAGGGAACCTTACTGAAGGATTGCCTTCATCATATTGCCTGTAGGGGAACCTGTGGTTCATTTTCTTAATAAATGATTGATGTGGACTCACAACTACCTGTAACTCTGGCTCCATGGGCTCTGACACTTTCTTTCATCCTCTGCAGACAACTCCACACATGGGGCACATACACAAACAGACAATTACACATGCAAAGGCATACACACTCACATACACACAGGCATACCTACACATAAAAATAAAATAGATCTTAAAAATAAATGAATTAAGCAAAAAAGGCAAGTTGAGTGATTTTAGTTTCCAGTGTGTCTGATAGCATTTTCTTGTTGGATCAGTGGAAACTTCAGAATAAAATACAAATCCTCTCCAAGTTTTGTTTTCTTTTACCACAGTAATAAATGTAAGAGCTGGAGGGTGGGAAGAAGTGCTGGGAAATGTCTTCTGGATGTGACAGCACCACTGAACTGAGCTCACTGAAGCTATAGTGACCTACACAGGAGCAAGGAAACAGTATATATAGATCAACATTCCAATGAGCAGCATGAACTGGACACTGTGGGTTATGAAGAAAGGAAAAAGGAGAGAATGTGAAAGGTTGAAGGGGACATGTTGTGGAAGCCTGGGGGTCAATGAGGTCGTTGGGAGTGAACATGATTAAGACACATTGCTTATATGTATGAACTTGTCAAAGAATAAACAAATACTAGTCTATTTAAAAAGGCCAATGTAGAGGACACACTTGTCAGCGCACTACTTGGGAGGCAGGAGCTCGGATTCACTATGAGTTTGATGCCAGCCTGGGCTATAGAGTGAGATCCTATCTAAAAATATTTCAAAATATCACATGTATCTATGACTGTATGTATCACCTACCTATTTATTTACTTAGCATCGTGGAGCTCAGGCTGGCCTTTAACTTCATATGTAGTAGAGACTGGCATTGCCCTCCTAATCCTCTCCTCTACCTTCTGCATCCTGGGATGACAGCATGTGACAGCACCCCAAGTGTGGTGGTTTGAATGAGAATGCCCCCATGGGGTCATGTAGGCCTCATGCTCGCTAGGCAGGAGCCCTCCTTCGGAGAGACATCCTCCTAAGAATTAACTTGTTTAAGCTGGATGTGGTGGTACACATCTTTTAAATCCCAGCACTCAGGAAGCAGAGGCAGGTGGATCTGTGTGAGCTCAAGGCTAGCCTGGTCTACATAGGGAGTTCTGTGACATGGAGAGCTACATAGAAAAACTATGTTTCAAAACAAAATCTTGGTTAGGAGTGCTGGGGATGGAAGCTAGGCTTTAGCTATGCAGAGCATCACCTATGCCATATAAGTACTATATCAGAAAGCGATACTCTCATGTTTATAGGAAGGAAAGCACAAACTAAAGGCCTGACATTTGGGTCTTCTGACAGGCATCTGCCTCCTGCTAATATTGAAAATTACTCACAGGGACTCTGACCCTCAGTCCAGTGCTTTTCTAGTAGCTTATGTACATCTGACAGTCTTTCTACTTAGAAGGTAATAGTTAGTACATACAAAGTACATTTCTGTTTTTGAGATAGGCTGGCCTCATACTCCATATGCAGATAAGGCTGACATTACATTCCACATTTCAAACAGTTAAATTGTATGTATGTATGTACATATGTATGTATGTATGTATATATGTATGTATGTATGTGTGTGTGTATATAAATATGTATTGATGATCTATCTATTGATTTCTCTATCTATCTATCTATCTATCTATCTATCTATCTATCTATCTTCCTACCTAAAAATCAATCTATCTGTCACCTTTCCATTTCCTGTCTACACATAGGATCTCTTGTAGCTCAGGCTTGCCTATAACTTCATCAGTAGTGGAGGATGACCTTACATTCCTGATTTTCTTGCTTCTACCTTTATCTAAGTGACTATCCAGTACTCAGCCCTAAATGGGTCATCTGTGGCACTCCTCAGCTTCCCAAGACTCAGGGAATATAATGGAAGAAGGGGTGGAAAAGAATTTAAGAGCCTGAGGATTGACAGGAGTGCTGGGAAATGCTGCTTTCTGGCCATTGTATTCATGAACTCACTGAGGGTAGCCCTTCCAGATCTTTCTGTGTTAGTTGCTTGGAGTCACACAGCCCAGGTAATAAGATGCTGAGCCTTTGACCTCCTTGTTACCTCAAACAAACACAAACAAAAGCAAAACAAATCCAACAACAGACAAACAAACAAAAAAACCCCCACCCAAACACAACCCTGTTGAGCTAGCAAAAGTGGGTTTTACCACTGTTCACAACTGGCTTTCATACCAGTTTTCTTCCTGGAGGAAGGTTTTTGCTGAGTAAAATGCTAAAATGGGGACCCAAAGGGGATTAAAAGGGTCTTTAGAAAAATGAAAGGCTCCACGTCCTCCTTAATCTCCACACCTGTGTGAAGTGGTTTAAGCATAAGTAATGGACTAAAGGGATGACAGCAGGGCATTTGTAGAATCTGACAGGTTTATCAGCTTGTGTTTTCCTGCAAACCGGAACTTGGAACGCTTTCTGTTCACTGCTGTCTGTTCACTGTTAAGATGTATTTGTAGTTAATCACCACTATGTTCTGGAGGAAGCCAAGTATGTGCAAGAGAAATAAAGTTGCTTTGCTCTTTGCCCTAGGCTCTGTCTTTCTAGTCCTCCTGAGTGCTACTTCTGTTCACAGTTTGTGGGGTATTTTTCTAGAACTATTTTACCTCTATAATATTTTATGTATATATAATCATATATTTGAATATTTGTTTCCTTTTTGCAGCAGGCTCTCATGTAGCATAGGCTAGCCTCTAACCTGCTCCTATCTCTCAAGAGCTGGGATTACAGGCGCATGCTACCATGCCCAGCTATAAAATGGCTTAGCAGTTAAGAACACTGACTCTTCTTGCAGAGGATGTGGGTTTGGTTCCCAGCACCCATATAGCAACTAACAACCATCCATAACTCCAGTTTCAGGGAATCCACTATCTTCTTCTGACTTCCAAGGGAACCAGGCATATCCATGATACACAGACATTATTTGAGATAAATGTTTATGCAATAAGAGAAATCTAAAATACAAACATGAGTAGTGTCAGGCATGGTGGTATATGCCTTTAACTTCAGCAGAGTTCAATAGATCTGTGTGAGTTTGAGGCCAGTCTGGTCTACATAGTTCAAAAATACAAAATAAAAATTCCAAAGGATTGGCAACAGAGAGAGAGAGAGAGAGAGAGAGAAATAGATAGATAGATAGATAGATAGATAGATAGATAGATAGATAGATAGATATTGGGTCATGAGAGGAGAGGGAGAAGTAGTCTTCCCTATGTAGGCTTTCTTGGTTACCCAATGCCAGGTGGCCAGTGCTGAAATCACTTACATGCAACACTGAACAACTCAGCAGGCTGAATCTGTATATTTGTGTACATACGCACACACACACAATTACAGAGGAGGAGGCCTGGATTTGGGGAGAGTGTTGTGTGAGGGGGTGCATAGGGCATAAGAGGATTGGAAGGAAGAAAAGGGAATGGAGGAAAATGATATAACTTTAATTTTGTTCATAATGATGCCAAGTGTGGTGGTGGATGCTTAAATCCAGACCTTTACAGGGCAGAGGCAGGTTGGTTTTGGAGTTCAGGGCCAACCTGATGTACATAGTGAGTTTCAGTTCATCTAGGGCTGCCTAATGAGACCCTGTCTTAAAAAAGCAAAAATAAAAACAAACAAACAAACAAACAAACAAAAAAGAAAACAAAAACTGGTAGGCCTTGCTCATAGGATATGGTTAAGGTGTGGAGGCAAACACATTTAGCCCTGAAAGTCTACATACAAGGGACATTATACAGATTGAGCATACTTAGGAATACATGTTTATGCATATAAGTATAGACATGCAATAGCAGTGAAAAGAGAGGCCATGAATTCGAAGGAGACGGTTACATGGGAGGCGTTGGAGGGAGGAAAGAGAAGGGAGAAATATTGTAATTAATTATATTATAATGTCAAAAAAAAAAAAAAAAAAGAGGTGCAGGCAGGACAATCATGAGTTCAAGGCCAGCCGGAGCTTTATAGAGGCCAGAGAGAGTGTTCAACCTGTAAGAGACTATCGAGGTTCAATTTCCTGCACCCACAAGTCGCCTCACAACGTTTGTAACTCTAGTCCCAGGTGATTGACCCTCTGTCCTGACTTCCTTGGGCACCACGCATATAAGTACAGTCAAAATGACCTATACTCGTTTAGAAAAAAATGTGCGGAATTCGTGTCACTGCCTGACTCGGTGTCACTGTCTACACGTGCGGTAAAGTGCTGTGGATCTCTACCAAGACACCAGCAACTGGCACAGATTCAAGGCGTGAATGGAAAATATCCTTGCTCAGCTTAATATAGGGAACTACCATTCCCAGCGGTCTGTGCGCGACGCTTGCGGCCGGGTTGACGCTAGGGGGCGTGGCAACCGAGGGCGGGGTCGCGCTGCGGGTGCTGGCCCAGCGTCCGCAGGCTAGGCTGAGGGGTAGAGGGTTTCTCCTTGAGTCGAGGGCCGCGTGACAGCGCCGTACGATGGAGCGGGCGAAGATGGCGGAGGAGAGCCTGGAGACGGCGGCGGAGCATGAGCGGATCCTGAGGGAGATCGAGAGCACAGACACGGCCTGCATCGGGCCCACGCTCAGGTACCGGGGCGGGGCCGGGTTGGCTGGCGCAGGCCGAGGGCAGTGGCTGGCTGTGGGGAGAGCCGTGGGTGTCCCGCGTCTTGGGCGAGGCCTCCGCTGTCTCTGGTCAGCAGCTCTTCAGTTGCGAGCGGGCCCCGGCTCTGCCCGCGATGGAGCTGCCCATCACAGCGCCTCCGGGAGTGTCCTGGTTACCTCGGTCCTGGAGAAGTGTCCTCCCACCTTTCCTCACCTGAGAGCCCAGTTTATGAGGACAACCCGGCCCCGGTGTAGCCTGCGGACCTTGCCACCACCTGGACTTGCTCGTTCCCAGAGCTTCCAGCTGCATTGCCCGTGGAGATGTCAGAAAGTACCCGGCCTTTCTCGGCTCAGTTACCTTACACTTGTTACACAGAGCGCAAGGCATTGTGGGAATTGATGGACACCTACATCTATGGAAGCCATTGAGCAATCATACCGCTGGGGTTCAGTTACTGTTCCCCTGTATCAGTGGAGGCACCGGAGGATGGGATGACTTCTCCAAAGTCGCAGAGGATGGGAAATGGGTTTCTAGCTCCTAGCTCAGGCTCTCTGTACTTGTCTCTTTTTTTGTCGTGCTGGGGATGGAACCCTGTCTTGCAGTGTGCCAGGCAAGACCTCTTCAATTGAACTGTGCCCAGCCTACTGATTCTTCGCTCCTTCTGTTCTGCCTTAGTTGGGGAGTACCATCTGCTGCACTTGCTGTTGAAAGTTACTTACCAAGCCCAATTTTGAACTCCTCCCACCCCACCAGTGCCTCGTGTCCTAGAACTAGTTCCTCCTGGTCCTTTCCTGTGGTCCTTTCTGGTCCCCGTGCATTCCACGTGTTGAAAATCACCTTACCCTCCCTGTACAATATTGGATCAGTGCTCCTTCCTCCAGAACTCATGACTAATCCTTGCTTACATTTTCGTGGGGAGAGTTGTCCCCGTAAAGAGTGATGGAAGGTTGGAGACTTTTACTTTTAGCTTCACTTGCACAGCTTTCTTTCTAGACGTCATTGTTGGTGCCAAACAAGTTTTCTCAGTGTCCTTCCTAGAAAGAACTGTTCTCAGTTTGCCTTTGTCCCCTCCCCTCACCCCTCCTCCTTTTTTTTTCTTTTTTTCCAGTGCTAAGGATTGAACCCAGGGTCGCTGGGTTCAGTGCCACACAATGCTTTGTTACTCGAATGAAACCTAGTCCCCATCACTCCCAAGGTGATTTTTTAGCACCCTCCGCCCTTTTTGTGTTTCAGTTCTTTCACACAGTTACTTCCCTCCCCTCTTTGTATCATGACCATGACCATGGTCACGCTCCTGTCATTTCTTATTTTCTTGTGTTGTGAAAGGCTAGTGATTTTTGTTTCATAATCCTGTATAAAAGCCCAGTGTCACTCACTAATATTCTCCTAAATGTGTTTTAGTGAACATTGCTGTTTGGCTTTCAGTAACTAAAGTGTTGTTAGAGTGACTGAAAATGTTAAGAAACTTGGCTGGTAGCCCGGCTCAGTGGCTAATCCTAGCACTTGGGGAGGCAGAGGTAGGAGGATCTCTATGAGTTGGAGGCCAGCCTGGTCTACAAAGTGAGTTCAGGACAGCCAGGGCTACACAGAGAAATCCTCTCTCAACAAACTAAAGGGGGGAGGGGGAAGGAACTTGGCTTGCTGGATTGAGGATTTGTGATCAGCAGAGTTTTAGGAAAAATTCCTTACCATCATGTTGTCTTGAGCTGCTTGTGGTTTTTCAGTTGCTGTTGTTTCATGTAATAAATGACTTTGAGTATCATAATTTTAGATTACTGTGATTTAGTATGTTAATCCTCAGTGAAATATTAATACATTTTATTTTTATTTTTTGGAGGGGAGACATAGTTTCTTGTATCTCAGGCTCTCCTCATACTTGTTGTCTAGCTGAGAATATCCTGAACTTCTGGTCTTCATCATACCCACACTTCCTAAGAGCCGGGATTACAGTCTAGCACCACTATGCTTAGTTTATGTCACGCTAGTGATTGAACAGGCTTGCTGCCTGGTAGGTGAGCATCTGACTAACTGAGCTATATGTCCAGCACCAGTAGTATGTATTTGTGTAAATTTAATTTTGGTGTTTAATTTTCTTGGCTTTAGTAATGCATTCATTATAATTTAAACACTTTAGCCATTCTCCCCAAATTTTCTCATTTTTCTTCTGGTTCTGTGGGAGTACATGAATTAAGAAGTCTTACTTTATAGTGACATTGTTGACAACAATAAAATAATATCTAGTAGCTAATACAGGACTCTGTCAGTTTTAGTTGCTTTTCCTTGCTATATTGTGAAAGGTTTTGGATTAAAAATTTAACATTCATGAATGTATGTGTATATATGTATATATATGCATATATAAACGCACGTTTGTGTACATACACACTTACACAAGCTGATGCCATAGCACACTGTGGAGGTCAGAGGACAACTTATAGAGTAGGTTCTCTTCTTCTACCATGTGTGTTCAGAAGATTGATATCAGGTTGCTAAGCTTGGCAACAAGTGCCTGTACCTGCTGAACCAGAGACATTCTGTCTCTGGCCCAAAGATTTGGATTATTTGTTTATTTGGGTTTGTGAGATGGTTTCTCTCATTATGTGGCTCTGGCTGCTCTAGAACTTACCAGGCTGTTCTTGAACTCACAGAGACCTTCCTGCCTTTGCCTCTCTAGCTGGGATTAAAGGTGTTTACCAACCATACTTGGTCAAGAACTTCTTTTTTTAAATTTTTATTTATTAAATATTCTGCCTGTGTGTGTGTCTGCACACCAAAACAGGGCATCAGATCTCATTATAGATGGTTGTGAGCCACCATGTAGTTGCTGGGAATTGAACTCAAGACCTTTAGAAGAGCAGACAGTGCTCTTAACCTCGGAGCCATCTCTCCAGCCTGAGAACTTCTTTTAAGGCTGTCGCATAGAGACACAGCTACACTTAAATCCATGTCTGAAGCGAGTCCTCTGTTCGTGGAGGTCATCTTCTTTAGTACAGCAGTGAACAAGGAAGGGAACACCTGCTTAGCAATCCATATAAGCCCAGGTCAACCCTGGTGATCAATGGGCTACAGATGTCACAACCAGATTACCCGCATGTCCCAAGTACTAACATTCTGACTCTAAATTAGTTATGAACAATAACTCAATGTTTTCAAATTCCATGTCTTTATTTCTACTCTTAAATTTATCAGATTATTTAACCAATAGTAGTCATTTTCTTATTTTGATGGATGGGTCAGAGCATTTAGCATTCACTCTAACTGTATTTAAAGTTTTGCTCTCAATTTCTTCTTTTTCTCTCTCTCTCTCTTTCTCTTTCTTTCTTTCTTTCTTTCTTTCTCGCTTTCTCGCTTTCTCGCTTTCTCTCTCTCTCTTTCTCTTTCTTGGTTTTTGGAGACAGGGTCTCTGTGTGCAGCATTGGTTGTCTTGGACCTCACTCTGTAGACCAGGCATGCCTGAGGCTTTTACATTTTTTTTTGTTTGTTTTTGCTTTTTGAGACATGGTCTCTCTGTAGTCTTGGCTGTCCTGGTGTTGCCTTGTAGACCATGGTTGGTGCCCTCGAACTCACAGTGATCCGTCTGTCTCTGTCTTCTGAGTGCTGGGGTTTCAGACATGCACTACCATGTTGGCACTTTAAAAGTTTTAACTTGAGTAATGAAATACTTCTCTATTTAACAAGTATCTTATAGTTGGGTGTGGTGGTTCATGCCTTTATCCTGGCACTTAGATGGTGGAGGCCGGAAGGTAGGGAGCTCAGGCTTATCCTTGGCTACATAGCCAAGTTCAGGACCATTCTGGAGTATTTGAAACCCTGCCTTAAAAAAGTAGCTTCATTGAGATATAATTCATATAACATTTGATCCACATATTGTTTAAAGCATGTAACTGAATGACTTGCAGCATATTCATATTTGCGACAGCCACCATAGTCTAATTTAGAACTGTTTCCCAAGAAGCCAAATATTCTGTAAGGGTCACTTTTCATTTTCTTCCTCTCCTTCATGCCATTCTCATTTTCCTTTACTTTTGTTGTTCAAGGCTGTCCTTGAACTTGTTATATATAGTATATATGACTTTGAATTCCAGATCTTTTTGTCTCCACCTCCTAAATGTTGGGATTACAGGCGTTCCCCACCATACCTAGCTTCCTACTTGTTTTCTTTATGGGTTTGGCTACTTTAGACATCTGAACATTTAGTGTAAATGGACTATATGAGAAATTTTTTTTGTTGCTACTATGGTAATGTTTTCAGGATTCATCCATATGGATGTGTGTTTGTATTTCATTTCTTTATTGCTGAATAATACTCCATTTTATGGGTCTCTTTGCATCACATCTTATTTGTCCATTCAGTTGGTGCATGTTTTGATCAGTTCCATTTTGAATTTGTTATGAACAGTGTCCTGCACCCTGTCTCTTTGTATGGACATATGTTTTCATTCTGGGTATCAGCCAAGCAGTTGGGGTCATTGCGTTGCTTCGCCAAGGCAGCTGCAGCGTGTTCCAGATGTCCAGTGGCATAAGTGCGGTTTGCCTGCCTGCTTGACTGACAGCTCTTCTGCTGAAGGAACTAGAGCAAGGGAGATTCTAGCAGCTGCCAATTAGGAAGTCAGATTGCCTTATTCTCCAAGATTTTCACTTATACATACAAAAATAGACATTAGAAGGATGTTTCATTTTTATCTTTGAGACAAGGTCTTTGGTAGCCTAGGCTGGCTTCAAAATTGCCAAATAGCTGAGGCTACCGTTGAATTGCTATATACTCCTGCTTCTAACTCCCTTGAGTAAGAACCAAAAGAATCTATCATTAATACCAATACTGATTTTAACAGTTTCGTAGTGTTTTACAGTTAGAGCAGCTGGCCAGCAGAGGCAATCCTGTTGTCAATTCTAAAAGGAAAGAAGTATATGAAAGCCTCTAGTAGATTCTAATAAAGTCTATCCTTGGCAGTCATTGAAGGGAAAAACATCACTCATTAGAAATTCTTTTTGTAATAGTAACTTTTACTCGTGACCTTTCATATTTCAATGGTAACGATTGGAATGATGATTAGTATTACACGTGTATGATATAGGTGGGGTCCTGCATGCCGTGGAGCATTATTGGGTGTGGGATGCGTGTGGGGGTGCGTTTGTGCTATGGAGCTTGGTTGGAGGTCAGGGGCAGCTTTGTGGGGTTAGTTCTCTTTCTAATTCCAGACACTGGTCTCAGACCATCAGGCTTCAGCAAGTGCTCTTAATTCCCCCAAAGCCATCTTGCCCTTGTGCTTAAAAATATTTTTAAAATTACATTTTATCTATTTATTTGTTTGTTTGTGTGTTTGTGTGCCACAGTGCATGTAGGTGTATGAAGATCAGAGGATGACTTGAGTTAGTCAGTTCTCTCTCTCTCTGTCCAGTGGGTCCCGAGGATTGAACTCTGGTTATCAGGCTTGGTGGCAAGTGTCTTCAAAACCTATTGAGCCATCTCACTGCCCCTGAGAATTTTATTTTTTATTTTTATTTTTTAATTTTATGTGTATGTCTCTGGTGCATCATGTGTTTGGCCTGTGGAGGTCAGAAGAGTATGTCATCTCCCCTGGAGCTGGAGTTACAGTTAGAATTGAACCCCATTTCTCTGGAAGAGAAGTCAGTGTTCTTAACAACTAGGCCATCTTTCCAGTTCTTCCCCAATTTTCTATATAGGTCTCATAGTTTTGGCTGGCTATGTGAACTCAGTGTGTAGCTGAGGATGACCTTGAACTGCTGTTTATACTGTCTTCATCCCAAAAGACTGGAATTAAAAATCATGTTTCACCTACCATGCCTGGGTTATTTTTGGCTCTGAGTTTAAGACCAGAAAAATTGTTTTTTCTACAAGTCCCTGACCAAGAAGGCTCTGTATGATGTTACTATATTTCCATAGAGTAGATTGAGCAATATATTCTGAGTAAGTAAGTTTTCAGTGGTTGGCTTTGGTGAAAGCATATAGTATAACTAGTATCTTAGTTACCATTCTGTCGCTTTAAAGAGGCATCATGACCTAGGCAACTTTTATAAAAGAAAACATTTAACTGGGCGCTTGCCTACAGTTTCAGAGGGTTAGTCCATTGTCATCATGGCAGGAAGTGTGACAGTTTGTAAGCAGGCGTGGTGCTGGAGGAGTAGCTGAGAGCTTTACATCCTGACCTGTAGCCTGCAGGCAGAGAGTGTCTTTTAAAATCTCAAAGCCCACCCCCAGTGACTCACCTCCTAAGAAGGCCACGTCTTCTAATCCTTCTAAACAGTTCATCAGTTGGGAACTAGGTATGCAAATATATGAGCCTGTGGTGGGGGATATTCACGACCAAAATCAGTGTGCATTTTGTAAAAGAGATAGTTCACTTCCTTAGGGTAGCCTGTGTGCAATCTCATGGTTTCTGATCTGGAGGAATGTATGCACTGTGTGTGTGTGTGTGTGTGTGTAAGTATGTATATTGGTTTTGGGTAAGTATATAGCTAAACTTGTTGCTAAGAAGTGAATATCAATATATTTAGATTATATAATTGCCCCTTCTTATGGAATGTATCACTTTCATGTTTTCTTGGTTAAGTATAGAGTGATGCATATTTAAAAAGTGAACCAGCTATGAGTGTATTTTGTGAGTTTGAAGAATCTGAATAACCTATTTTATGTCTCTAAAAGAAGTAAACTGAGTGGTGGATCACACTTGTGATCCCAGCATGGAGAATCTTGAGTTCCATGATTGGGCTATAAACTGAATGAGAGATAGTTCCACAGATAGGGCCATGGTTCTTTTCATTTGGCTACGCTCTAGAGTGGAAATAAATGCCACCAGTGCCATAATAATTTTGTTTAAAATAATTCATAATTTGAGGTTGAAAGAAGCTAATCCACTTTTACCATTTGAAACTTTGCCAATCAAAAGAGTAATCATAGACATTATATGTTAAGATATGTAAATTCGTGCTTGTTTTGGCAGCACATATACTAAAATTGGAGAAATGTGGAGAAGATTAGCATGGCCCCTGCTCAAGTATGGTACACAGATTGGTGAAGTGTTCTGTATTTTTTTTTTTTTTTTGAGATGTAAGTGAATAACTAAGTAAATAAAAAAATATGGAAAAAAGATGTAGTTAGAAAATCTGCTGCTGGACCTTTTTTTTTTTTAACTTAAGGAAGTTTTTAAACTTGGGATATCTGGCACTTACCCTGTTTTAGAGAAAAGATTTTAAAAATTCAGATGTTCATTTCCAATAAGTGAGCGCTAAGTTTAAGCATGTAATATACACTTGCACAGCTAACTTAGAGCTTTAAAATACATGCTACCCACTGAAACGTCTAAGTGCCCTGGAACCCAATGTTTGCCTCAATGTTATTTGTTTTGTTTTTTTTTTTTTTTTGAGAAAGGCTTTCACTATATAGTCCTGGCTATCTAGGAACTCACTGTGTAGACCAAGGTGGCCTTGAACTCACAGATCTGCCTGTCTCTGCCTCCTGAGTCCTGGTATTAAAGGCATGGGATCAAACACCCTGCTTCATTTTTTTTTTTTTTTTGGTAATTTTTTTTTTTTAATGATACATATGGAGTTATGACTCTGTTAAAGTGCTACTGTGGTTTGAAAACAGATTGATTATGCAAAAGCAAAACCATTATTAATAGCCACAAACAGTTCTAACTAAGCATTTGAGTATTTATGTATTTAGCCCTTGCTGCCAGGGCCAGTTCCACTAGCTGTCCAGGCAAGGTGGGACCACTCTCCTCAGTGCTATAGCCGTTGAGGGTCAGGAGCAGCTCTCCTGCTCTTGGGGCCAGCTCTCTGTCACTGTACAGGAAAGGGGTGGAGGCAGTTCTGCTTAGTCCTTGAGCATCAGCTTGGCCCCAGGCAGCAGTCCTTACCAGGGATGTCCACATGTCCTTTGGTGGTAAGATGGCCCACAGACTTGGCCACAGACCCAGGCATGGCCCTTGGTGCCAGGCCATCACCATTGCCGTAGGTGGTAGTGAAGGCTACTCAGATCAGGCTGTTCTCCATCACTCTCTTGTCTGCAGTTCTGCCTCTCTTTACAGTGCGCCAACCATCTGCTTCTCTTTCCCACTTCTCCATCACATTCTAGCTCATGATAGTGTCACCTGTGCCACATCAGCTATGCCATCTGTTTTTGAAAGGTAGTATAAATTAAATGTTTGTTCAACTCAAAGATTTCAAAGCAAATACATCCCTGGCTAAAGTTAAACACAGCACAGAAAAACCGTAATTTAACCCAGAATTTTCCAGTCTCATGGTGTAATCACCACTACAAGCAACCAGAGAGATTAGCCAGTGATGAGAAATAAACCCAGCAGACACGTCAAGTCAATTGTGGGTCATCATTTTGCAGGTACTGCTCTTCCTGGGCTAGGATGCAGTTCTGGGAGTCACAGTCACTTACAAAGTGGTTGCCTTTCTCAGAGGAAGAAGGCATAAATCCACTGGCATTTCTGTTTGTTTCTGGCTTTGTTGGTGGACAGTGTAATTCACCAGTTTTCAAGGAGCAAGAACAGCAGTGCCTTCAGGTCTCCAGATCTGCCTCTCTTTAGAGCACACAAACCACTTGACTTCTTTTCCTCTCTTCCATCTCTTCACCACCAGTTTGCTTCTTTCTCTTTTGTCATTCCACCACCTACTTGTTTGCTTCCATTGTTTCTGGCCCAGCAAAGGCTGGGTTGCTCTTTTGTTTTATATATAATCAAGGTTTCTTTCATTCAGATGCTCTACCACTAACCTGTCTACTACATGTTTTATTGAAGATGAGCAGAATTGTTTTTTCCTGAAAGATGGAGTTTTCAAGTATAAGTGCCTATATGTGTGACTAGTGCTGAATCAGAAAGTGGGTTCTTTTCAGTAGTTAAATGAAAAAAATGTGTTATCACTAATCATCAGAGAGAAGAAATCAAAACTGCAATGAGATACATATTACCTATACCTGTTCAGATGGTCATGAAAAAGAGGTGGGAGGTGGAGGCAGAGGCAGGAGAACCAGGAGTTCAAGGGCAGCCTTGGCTACTTAGTGAGCTCAAGATCAGCCTGCACTATACAAGTCCATGTCTTAAAACAAAACAAAACAGAACAAAACAAAACAATAAGATAAGATAATGACAATCTCTACAGACTGCTGGTAGAATTGTGCCTTGGTACAGCCATTATGGAAAACAGTATGGAGATTTTTAAAAAAAGTAACAGTAGAACCAACAGGATTCAGCAATAGATGAAGATAGCATGGTGTTTACAAGCATGCATGTGTATGTTCAGTGGAAGACCACTCATACTTATTGAAGGGAACCCTGTCATTCTGACAACATGACCTAATCTGGAAGACTTACTAAATGAAATAAACCTAGAACAGAAAGACAAATACTGCATGTTCTAACTCATACATATAGTCTAAAAAGGTTGAACACATTCTAAGAGGCTAGAATGGTCAGAGGTTGCCTGGGGAGGGGATAAGGAGATGTTGGTAACAGAGTACAAAGTTTCAGTTAGTCTGAGTCTGTTCTAGAGGTCTATTATGCAACATGACTACTATAAAAGATAATGCAGCTCTTCAGAATGGTCCAGTGATTAATGTACCATCACAAATACCCCCTAACAAAGTTGTTGGTAATAGAATTGAATAGAAAAGCCCTTGTAATGGAATTGTTTATTTTCATACCAAAAAGGTTGAGAAAACACCAGAATCCGCATGTGGTATGTGCCCATTTCATCTTTGAGGGGTTTGTGCTGTGAGACCCAGTCTGTATGAGAACATCTAAAACAGAAGAACAGTTCAGTAGGGCCTGTGGTGAATCTATGTATGTTAAATGCATTCATGACAGGATTCAGCATGCTTTCCCTATTGAAGATCAGAAATCACTGTGAAAGTATTGTAGCCCAGAATTAGAAAGCTAAATAACTATAAAGTCTTTTTAAGGAATAAGGAAAATCTGTACTTGAAACTTATAATAAAAAGTGTTAAGTATGTGAGGTGATGGTTGTTTACCTTTACTTAGTCATTTTGTAATGTTTAGCTACATCAAGACACTTTCACTGTAAATTTATCTGTCAGTTATACTTTAATAAAGCCAAGGAAAATTGAAAAAAATTAAAAGCTTGTATTATCATCATTAGAAAAAAGGAGACAGTGGCTTCAAATTCTGGCAGATTATCAGGGTGGGAAAATTAAGCCTTTAGTGTTTTACTGTATATCAGCTGTCATCACTTCCATTATCAAAGTCTTGTTTTGGGCGTCATGTCCTAGAATCTGCCCTTGTTATAGGGTTATTAAAGCAAGCTAGGGCTTTATTATTAAAGTTAATTTTGAAAAAATATCTCATGGGTTACCTTTGCATTTTTTTAAAAAAAATATATATTCTACCCTCACTATATAAGCTTGGTAAGGAATTTTATTTTTGCCACCTCCTAGTAAACTGAGTCCTAGAATCTCAGTTTTCCTGCTGTTCAAATTAGTTTTAAGTTATAAATGTTTATTGATAGGAGAGAAATTTGTCAGGATATTTGAGGCAGAGCCCTAGAAGGTTTTTACTTATTTGTGACAGGCTACTGGAAAGATTTTGGGATTTTCTTAATTGTCTAAGAACAACCATGCAAGGAAGTGGTGTCTGGCCTAGCTCTTCAGAGTGTCAGTTAAGAGCTGGCTGAGGATATAGCTCACTTGATAAGAGTATTTGCCTAACATGCACAGTGCTCTGGGTTCAGTTTCCAGCATCACATTTAAAATCACGGGAGGCGATATGTTCTTGTGATTCCAGCACCCTGGTGGGGGAGGCAGAAGAAATTTAAGCTCATCCTTGGCTATTTTAGACACAGTCTCAAAGGAAACAAACAAATAAAAAGTATCAGTAGAAGTCAAGGGGGATTTGCAGAATCCCTGTTGTTGGATCCTTGAGTAGATTAGGTTCTGTGCCTCAAAGAGGCAGGACACTTACTTCCTTGTGGCTCTGGGAAGAACTGTATTAGACTTTGTCTATAGTAGTGAGCAACATATGTAAACATAGTCATACCTATTAAATGAAAAATTGAAAAGTCCCTCAGAAACACTGAAGATAATCTATAGGAAATTCTCATGCTATTTTGATTTTCTTATTAACTAAAACCAGTCATTAAAACAATAGCATTTGTTTGATGTACAGCCAGAGGGACTTAGCCCAGAGCCTCTAGAATCTGAGACAAGTGCTCTATTGCTGAGCTCCAGCCCCAGTTTTAAGTGTGGTGGCTTTGAACAGCTGTGCAGGTTGTACAGTGCACAGCTGCACCTTTCTAGGGTCATGCTATTTCTAGTTTATGTAATGTAGATTTTTATACCCACTAAAACAGTTATACAATAAGCACAGTCAAGGATCTTAAAGATGATTAAGGGCAAGTATAGACCCTGTTTTAAAGTTTAAGTATTTAAACATGTTATAAGCCAAGCATGACTGCAGACAGGAGGTAGAACACCCATTCTAGACTACATGAGATCCTGTTCAAAAAGGAAACAAAAATAAACAAATGCCACAAATAAATAAAACAACCAAAACAACCACCAAATTTGTTAGACTGTAAAGGAGAGCTGAGGAAATCAGTCAGTTACTTCACTTACTGGGACAGAAGGCCGCACTAAAATGCATGTTCACAGACTGAACATTTTTCTTCAGTTTTAGGGTAGAGCCTCGACTGTACACATTAGATAAGAACTTAGCTTCCTCCCGGACCAGAGAACTATATTCTATAGATTTGTTTTATTTTTATTGCATGTGGATGAGTGTTTTACCTTCATGTATGTTCTGGGTGCAGTGTCCAAAGGCCAGAAGAGGTCATTGGAGCTGCTGGAAGTGGAGTGATGGTTGTTAGCTCCCATTTGGGTGCTGGGAACTATGTCAGGGTGCCCTGGAAAAGCACTATGTGCTCTTAACCTCTGAGTCATCTCCCCAGCCTCTAAGAAAAGATGTTTTAATTGGATTTTCTGTGTTTAGTGTGTTTAGCTGGTTCACAGGTCAGCAACTCCAAAGCCTTGGGAGTGATATACTTGCTATCTTGATGTGACAGTGCTTGGA